TCATTTTTGTCTTCAATTTCCAAATTCTGAGTTCAAATTGGGTGTCTGCCAAGCTTCAGCTTATCTGTATGTTTTGAGAACTTCTTACAGCACATATTTTTTAAACTTTAAATCAAACCAATTTTAAATCTTTGATGTTTGCAAACACACTGTTTTACCTTGAATTTGAATGTGCTTTCTTTGTAACAATCATGGAATCTCTTTGTGAATGCTTTACAATTTTCACTGGGGCCTCTTTAATCTCACTGGGGGCAAGGGACCCAGTAAGTCCATTTGTAACCTCTTCTCGAACTGTGCTGGATGACCATGGTGTCCATCCTCGTCTCGCTACTTCGGAGAAGCAGAGCAGAGAGATGAGCATTTTCAACAATGCTCCTGTACCAGCTGCAATCTCCGACATTGTCCCAGGAAGGTTCAAAACCATCTGGCCTTTTTTCCCAAGATTGCAGTCATGACTATCTGCTGTCTGACTGACCCTTCCATGCAGTCTGGGCAAAGGTCCTGGAAAATGGTGGTAGGGTAACCAGTGCTATTTGCTGAAGGACTCCATTATCAACAAATGGACACAACCATCATATAAAGGGAGGACACCATTTCTCCCTGGGATTCCTGGAGGAGTCACAACAGACTCTGGCTTATTAGCCTAGAGTTTTGGGTCACCAAACAGGCAACAGCTGAGTCTCCTGTTTGATCCTCTTGGTCCCGATTGCTGCTTCTACTCTCTCCAGCCACTGTTCAACTGGGTCTGGACTCAGATGTACAGGAGGGGGAAGAGTCAGGGTGTAATACTGGCTCTCCTTGTCTGGTTGTCCCCCTTCCTGTTCACTACAGCAATCTCAGGTGTGTGACTCAGCAGATTTCAGTGGAAAGTGAATTTGGGTACACCTTCATTGCACAAGTCTCTTAGATGCTCCAGCCTTCTGACTGGATAAGGGGCTCTCAACAGCTGCTATGTGAGCATTTCTCCAACTCCTGCAAACATTATTGTGGACCTGTGTTAGCATCATGGATCAACACATCCCAGACCACTGTTTTACTGTGTGCACAACCAATGAGGAACTTGAAGACAGATAGGTCCCCCAGGCCTGATGGGATTTATCCAAGGATTCTATGGGAAGCGAGGGAAGCGATGATCTTTTCATCCTCACTGTGTATAGTGCCGGAAGATTGGAGAGAGGCAAACGTCATTCCCTTATTCAAAAAAGGGAATAGGGATAACCCCGGAAATTACAGGCCAGTTAGTCTTAAGTCAGTGGTGGGCAAATTATTGGAAAGGGCTCTGAGAGATAGGATTTATGATCACTTGGATAGGCACAGTTGATTCATGATAGTCAGCATGGATTTGTGAGGGGTAGATCATGCCTCACAAACCTTATTGAATTCTTTGAAGAGGTGACCAAACACTTGGATGAAGGTAGAGCAGTGGATGTGGTATACTTGGATTTAAGTAAGGTGTTTGATAAGGTTCCCCATGGTAGGCTCATGCAGAAAGTAAGGAGGCATGGGATAGGGGGGAAATGTGGCAGATTGGATTCAGAATTGGCTGACCCTTAGAAGACAAA